TCAGTTGTTTTCGGTCGATTCTGCATCGATCCCTGGGAGAAAATATGTTAAAGGGTATCGATTGACCGAAAAAATATAAAAAATCGAAACTCACCAGCGGCGGGTTTCTCCAGTGCGACAGCTCATCCGGTTCACGTTGCGGTTGAGTGTTTTGGTTAGGTCAACATGTAGATAAGGAAACGGTGATCACAATGATGAAAAAATCATGCATAACGGGAATCAATAAGAGCCTCATCGGAAGTGTTTTGTGGAATTTCTCATGATGTCGCCGCTAGGCTTTGCCCAAGTTTTTCGGCCAATCGATCTGTCATTTTGCTTCAATCTGGTTATGAGTGTGTTTAAAATTGAATTCTGAGTAAAATGAGAAATTTTTACCTTTTTTGGCGATCGGAAAGGGCTCCGGTGCGACGACGAGTAGCAGCGGTCTCCTTCCCGGCGGTGGGTGGCAGCGGTCTCCTTCCTGGCGGCGGGTGGCACCGATCTTCTTCCCGGCAGCGGGTGGCATCGGTCTCCTTCCCGGCGACCGAGTCTTCTTCTTCGACGAGAGGGTTTGGCAGCTAGGGTTAGGGTTTAGTGTGGATGGAGGTTATTTATATCTGTCCACTTTTGATATTGGTCGTCCATCGCGTTTGATCTGAACCGTCCGATCACGATTAAATAGGTAGTGAATCTAAACTGTCCATCGCGATCTAATATGGACCGTCCGATCGCGTTCAAATCTGATCGTCCGATCGCATTTGGGGAGGGAATGCATCTGGGTCGTCCGTGCGTGCACGAACGAATCTGTACCGTTCGATCGCGAGCACGCGGATCGCCCGCGTGGCCTCCCTCGTGGCATTGCGTCAGCGTCCACTGTCACGCGACAAGAGCATTTGACCGGGTGTCCCACATGGCAAAACTTTTCTAAATTACAGTTTGACCCTCAATTTCTGATTTTTCTTTTAAAAATACTTTCATAACTCAAATTTTTATCAAATGTTTCTAAAATTATTTTCAATTTCATTCTCTTTCAATTTTTACTTCATTTTTACTCTAAATTAAATTTTAAAAATAATAAAAAATTATATTTATTAATTTTAAATTACATTACAATTTCATTTTTGGGTGTTACACTAAGTTTATATATGTTGACTTTAAATATTATACTTAATAAATTTCTTAAGTATATATCAATTAATTAAATATGATGTAAATATTTTTATTTAATAATATAAATAATTTAATGTAAGTAAGGTGAATTTTTTTTATAAACTTGTTCCTTCCATCAATAACTTAACACACGTATGTTATAGGTTCCACCATATTTGTAACATTTATAACTTATGATTGCAATATGCAATTTTTTAGAAAATATTTTTTTAATATTGTAAAATGGTATTTAACTTTTTTAGCATCGTTTAAACTTGTAAACCATTTATACCAAACAAATTATATTAATTAATAAATTATAAAAACATTAATTATAAATAACCATCACGAGTATCACCTCACATTAGGCCATCACGGAAAAATTAAAACTAAAATTATTTTTATCTAGCATTAACTTGAAACCACGTGCATCTAAGTGACATTTTTATTAAGATTAATATAGTTATATGTAAACATGTGATAATAGTATGATAAATCAAATAATCTACATAATCTATTGTCAAAAATAATGAATTATTATTATTACTAACACCATTTGACCAGTTAGACAATTATATATTATGCCTAGCATAAACTATCATTTTAGTTATTCATTCATCTAATACTTTTTTCAGAAATTATCTCTTATTAGTTTATTTTTAATAAATAGACTTTATTTGTAAAATTCATTTTGAAATTTACGCTTGATTTAACTTTGAAATATTGAATATTAAATATTTTTTTCTAAAATTATAAAAATAGGTATCTTATAGAATTTTAACCAATATTATATTTTGATCATAAAATTATTGATAAAATTTAAATTAATTTAAATCAATTATCTAATTATTTATTATGTTAATTGTCAAAAAAAAAATATTTTTTCTGTATAATTTAATTAAATTTAAACTACTAGATAAATATCACAAATAAAATTTATATATATCTTAATAAAAATAAGTTCTCTTAATCATTTTTAACTCAATATTCTAATTAATTAGCGAACAATTTTTAAATCTATTGACTATTATATTCATGTATCGTCTCTTATTAATTATTATTTAAAATATTAAATATTGCATCAATCGTTGTAAAATTTATCCAACATAATTGTACTCGTAATTTTATAAATTAAATAATTCATTTTATTATCGCACAATCTCATAAAAAATAAATATTAATTACTAACTCTATCATTTATATGATGATACAATTTTGATTAAACCAAATTGGCAAATAAGCCTAAGCAAACAAAATATAAGATCCCAACTTATAACACATGCTACCACAGATTATTACAGCTCCTCACATTTGTACAAGATCAAATGCATGGTTCAAATGTCAATAAAAGACATTTACTTGAACAATAGTGAAAATAATTGACTATCTAAATATTTACTTAAATCTTGATGTATAAGTTATAGTTCTAACATTATATAAAAATGCATTAAGACTATTACGGTGATCTATTTTTTGGTATATATTATTTTTATAATTAGGTGCATATCAAATACTCATTGACCTTAATTTTAAATAATTATCAATTTAGCTTAATAGTTATTACATACATTGTGCGTATTGCGGATTCAAATATATTAATTGTTAATACTATCATAATATCAACTCTTAAATTATTACCTTATAATATTCTTATTTTTTGAAAAAAATTGATTTGTTTAGTAAGAAAACTTCAACATGCTCATGTTAGAAGGTCAAACATATGTTGATGTTGTTAGATATTTTATAAAAAAATTATGAGTTTTATGTAAATTAAATTACAGAAAATCCAAAATATAAGAAAATAAATTTGGAAAAAATAATAAATTTTTAAAATTAAAATGGGCAAAAATGACAAATTTTGGGAACTTTAAACTATATATTAATTAATTATTGATTTAACAACATGTGGCTGTAGTTTAGTGGTGAGAATTCCACGTTGTGGCCGTGGAGACCTGGGCTCGAATCCCAGCAGCCACAATTTTCTTTTTATTTTTTTTTAAAAAAGAAAATTTCTTTAAATCACCATTTCGTCCATCTACAAAACCGAGTATGCTCAAGGCTGGAATACCAGCAGCCAGCCATCTTTAACAGATTTAAGACAAAAAAAATTAATGTTTTCATTGAATAAAAAATTAATTCATTAAAATAAATTAATTGCTTTATTTATTTATTTATTTTTTTTTTGAAAACTGAGCAGATAAACATTAATTATTATTGTTTACGAATCCAGTAAATTACAAACTTTCCAAAAGCATCTTTATTTATAAAAGTTAAATCCAAAATTCCCTTTTATAATTATACGATCTCCCACTGCAATATACTAAACGTTGAATCTAACAGTACTGAGTGAAATCACAATTTTACCCTTTTATCTTCTAGTTTATTTTACAAATGAAAACGATGGGATTTCTGAAAATTTGAAGGAGAACTTAAACTTCGGGGAGGGAAGTGAAAGGGTTCTATAATTTATGTGTTTTTAGTTATTTGTCAATTGAGGAATCCAAATGAGAATTTATTATGATGTTTGGTTGTCTAGAAAATGAAGGAAATTTATATTGATTGTAGTTTAGCAGTATGAAAAATAAAGGAGAATTTACGACGCCGTTTAATTGTCAGAATAATTTTTTTTAAAAAAAAAAACATATTTAAAAGAATATGAAAGAGAAAAGAAAATAGAAGATGAACTAATTTCGTCAGTGGAAAGTTGGGCCAATTATTCTTGAAGATAGAAGGATAAAGTCAGGTAAATTTACTTAATTAAGAAATAAAATAGTATTTTGGATAGAGCCGGGTACCCGAATGGAGGTCCCATGTGGGTCCAGGAATCCAACTAAACCCATCATGGTATCCCATCATCATTAATTATTCTAAATTCAGTGGAGCATCATCCATGTGGCCATTCTCCATCATGGATCTCGGGGAAATATCCAATCACATCTCTCCAATCTCGCCCGCGGTTCCCCTGACCCCACCTAATCGACCTTTTTGATCTCCATCCGACGGTGCAAATCAACGGACTCCATGCACGCGACATGTACCATAACAGTTTCTTTAAAACATGTGAGACCCACGTGTGAGTGAATGAGAATCGTGTGGCCAACGGGCATCAGTTTTCTCACCTGATTTGACCTCGCTTTACCCAAATTTACCTCGCTCTCCATCTTAACCGTACACGTGTATATAATGACGTATGAGAAGCTGCCACGTGGATATGTATTTTTTTGTTTTTCGGTGTGTGTATAAATTTGATGTGAATCTCACTCACAGGTTGAGTGAGTGACTATTTTTTCTCTGTCTCACTCAACGACCAACCACAACAGTCATCCTTGTGAAGTTACGAAGGCACCCTTGATTTCTCTTCGAATTTTCAATTCTACCCTTGATTTGAAGCTCGGTTCTCTTGCCTGTCTAAAAGGCAGAAGTCTTCGAATTTTCAATTCTGCCCCTGATTTGCAGCTCGGTTCTCTCGGCGAAGGGAAAATGGTGGAGCCGGTGAGAAATGAGAAGGATGAGGAACTCTCGCTACTTGGTGAACGCTGCAATGGCGACCGGTCATGGCGGTTGAACTTCGATGGTTACCAGTTGTCGACTGAGCACAAGGAGAAGCCGCCTCGAGGGCTCCATGACTGCCTCGGAGTTCTAGGTAATTCTTCACTTTGTCTTTCTTACCGTTCTCTTTGCTTGTTTTTTTTTTCTTTTTTAAATAACTTGTGTTTTATTTACTGTTTTTGATTAATCGCTATTAGCTAAAATCTTTAGTCCTAATCCTCACTTGTTTAGTGTCCTTTTTTTTTTTTGTTTTTTTTGCTTTTTGTTGTTTTTTTTTTCTTTAGTTAGCTCGGGCTTCAAACGGAAAGTTCGAATATTGTTTATGTTTTCTCAGGGTTTACTTCTTGTGGCATCGTATTCTCATTTAAATTTTCAAACGATCTGTAACTATCTGATATATTGTTTTTCCTTTTACAGTGTGCTTTTCGTTTATTCCTTGTTATGGCGAACTGACACATGTGTGGTCCTTAAGAATGGGATACTGAGTGACAGTATTTTCTCCATAGATTATTGACTGAGTCGGTGTTATATGTTGACCAAGAGCTGAAAGAGTTTTTTTAGTTTGGTTTTGGAGAAATATTGGCTTTGAACAGAGCAGGAGTTCGAGGAAGTATTTTATTTAAGTCTTGTTGTTCTCTTGGTGTTTGACAGGTTTGTTTTCATGTGAAAACTGCGTTTTTTACTTTGAAAAGTTGGGGGGGAGGGAGGGGTCTTAACTGGAATGAGCTTGCTTGTTCTGTGTTTCCTACTTGTTGATTTGATAGAAAATGAGTTCTATTTATATCATCTTGTCCATGTGTTTTTGTTCTAGTGATTAATAGCTTTCTTTTCCATTTTAAATGCAATCAAGTACATATATACAGCTTTTCTTACATAAGTTAAAAACAGTTAGCTGAAACTAATAGGAATGGTCAGACAATTTTAGGATCGGCAATTACGTGGTTGTTTTTGTCTTTAAACATTCAAAATTTAATTTGTCTCCCAGGAATTTAAGTTTTCATGTTGAATTTTTGAAGCAAGTGTTGATAAGAATGGTTGTGCTCCTATTAATCTTTTTTGGCTGTCTTAAAATTTTCTGTATCATGAATATGGTATGGTGTTTCCTTCAGTCCTTCTGACTAGAATTATGTTATGGTCCCGACTGAAGTATCTAGTTACTGGGTGTTTAACTTCAACATTTTTTTGAATGTTTTCCTTTCCTTACTTATCTTGAGTAATTGTTAGGGTTTGTGATAAGATCAGAAGGAATCCAAGTATGCCCAGTAAAAGAATGTGCAGCTGGGAAATAGTCAAAGAAGTTCCAGCACCTCCATGATCTCCGCACAACTACTGCATCCCACGTTTTCATCAGCATATGTATTTCATTTTCCACATGTTTAAATTTAGCTTCTTAATCTTAGAAAGTAACAGTAGAATTTTTATGTATTTAAATAGCTCCAGCACCATGAATTAAAACGGAGTTGAATTTTGCAAATTAAATTTGTGGTGTTTTTCGCCCCAAACGAGAAAAAACTTATTTACTCACTACCAACATCTGATTGGAACCTATCAATTGGTATCAGAGCTACATCAAAATGACCTCTAACAAAGAACGTATTGAGAACTTGGTAGCAAGCCTCGGCGGGTTGCAGGACAGCTTCAGTCGGATGGAGCTCGTGATGGCCGACAAACTCCGCATCATCAAAGAGAACCTCAAGCGACTTACTGACACCGTCACCTTCAACTGAGAAGGTTCTAGTAGCAACGCCTCTAGTCGGGCTGGTTACAGTCGGCCATCACGCGAAGGAGCTGAGAAAACAGAAGGGGGCCGACAACCATTTTGCTCCAAGTTGGCCAAGCTTGAGTTTCCCTCTTACGTTGGCGATGATCCGATGGAGTGGTTTAACTGTGTGGAGTAGTTCTTCGAGCACCAGGGCCCCGTTGTGGATCAAAAGGTGGCGTTGGCGTCGTACCACCTGGAAGGCAAAGCCAACCAGTGGTGGCAATGACTTCGTCGGATCTGTAAGGAAGAATAGAAAGAAATTACTTGGGGTGTGTTTGAAGAGGAGCTTTGGGTTCGGTTTGGACCGAGGAGAGTGGAGACTTTGATGAAGCCTTATCCAGAATAAAGCAGATTGGTTTATTACGTGAATACCAAAAACAACTTGAGCAATTGAGTAACCGAGTTTAGGGATGGACGCAGAAGGCTTTGGTGGGGACTTTTATTGGTGGGCCTAAACCCGAAATAGCAGACGAGATCAGGATGTTCCGACCCAAGTCTTTGAAGGAAGTAATTAGTTTAGCCCACATGAGAGAAGATCAATTGAACCGGCAACGCCGGTCTAACCAGTCGAGGTGAGTTCCAACCCCCCAACTATCTCAAGCATTAGCAGCTCCAATGTCACAAAATGTTGCGGCTCCTTCCGTCATCACCAAGCAGCTCTTGTGGGACAAAATGCAGAGATAGCGAGCGCATGGGCTGTGCTTCAACTATGACGAGAAGTTTACGGCCGGACATCAATGCCATCAAACCCAAATTTTGCTTCTGGAAGGCAACGAAGATGAAGAAGACACCGAGCCCGCTAAGCTTTGATAAACGGAGAACCGAGAAGCAGGGGGACCAGTAGAGCTGCATGAAGATTTATGAACCTTGAGGACAAGGTTTCTTAAAAGGGGAGGCAACGATAAGATCAGAAGGAACCCAAGTTTGCCCGGTAAAAGAACGTGCAGCTGGGAAACAATCAAAGCAGTTCCAGCACCTCCACGATCTCCGTGCAACTATTGCATCCCACGTTTTCGTCAGCATATGTATTTCATTTTCCACATGTTTAAATTTAGCTTCTTAATCTTATAAAGTAACGGTAGAATTTTTCTTTATTTAAATAGCTCCAGCATCATGAATAAAAACGGAGTTGACTTTTGCAAATTAAATCTGTGGTGTTTCTCGCCCCAAAGAGAAAAAACTTATTTATTCACTACCAGCATCTGATTGGGGCCTATTGGTTTGTTAGAAAGAACCTTATGATCTCTTGAGTAAAAATCAAACTTGAATAAGATTTCATACATACTAATCTGTTTACAAATGGACATGATACCGGTCTCTATTTTTTGGTAGTTGGAAGAAGAAGAATCGGAGAACTTTTTATGGGGTTAAGGATGTAAATGATTTTGGTATCTTTAAAGATAGATGGTTGCATACACTTGGTTTTTTGTTATGGGTCGTCCTCTTGTTTCTATGAAAAATTTAGTGGAACTTGTTGATATATTAATTGAGTTATAATTTTGTATATACGTGGCACCCTCTTTGTGCTTATATTAATACAATTCACACTTTTTATTTCAAGAAAAGAAGGCATACTATTCTGTTTACAGCAATGGGATTTATTACAGCAGAGGAAGTAGCTATTGGTTGTTATTCTGGAAGTAAATTCTAATTTTCAGATTAATTAATTGACTAACTCTCCCCTGTTGTCTTATCCTTCAACTAAACCATACACATGCTTTAATACACAGTGCCCAATTATCATACACAATACAACATCTTAATATATTATTAGACAAAACATAATATCTAAATATATAATTGAGTTTCTCTTCCTCTTTTGAGCATCTTCTTGTTGTACAGACCTTAACAAATTGTACTTCTTTCTTGATAAAATATAGTTGAGACTTCTCATTTCTGATATACACAGCAAAGAAAAAAAACAAGTTTTTTGAAGTACACTGGAGTGCCTCAATGTACAATACTTAAAAAAGTAATGGATAAAGGGATTGGATGCATCCTATCTCATTATTTTTTGCTTGTTGGCTTTAGGTCCAGAAGATAACGTGGCTGTATACTACCAGCAGCAGGTAGAAATGCTTGAGGGTTTTAATGAAATGGATGCCCTTGCAGAACGTGGTTTTATTCCTGGAATGTCTAAGGTATGTATGAAATCTTCATAAAATCAGGTGAAGAGATTCTCAGAAATTTCAAACTGAGAATAGTTTGTTATGGCTGCAGGAAGAGAGAGAAAGGTTGGCTAAGAGTGAGACATTAGCCATTAGAATATCAAATGCAGCTAATATGGTTCTTTTTGCTGCTAAAGTTTATGCATCAGTCAGAAGTGGCTCATTAGCAATCATTGCATCCACGCTGGATTCTCTTCTTGATCTTCTATCTGGCTTCATCCTGTGGTTTACTGCATTTTCCATGAAGACACCAAACCCATATCAATATCCTATTGGAAAAAAACGGAAGCAGCCCTTGGTAAAAACATTGCAACTGCCTACCTATGGCAATCACATTGAGATCTCTCTCAAAATGTATTTTGTCCAGTTATGCTTCAAGTTTGTCTGTATGTTTTGTCCCCTTCAATTAGGTTGCTTGTGTTGCTGGATCTTTCTTAATTTAGTGAGACTGTTTATTGGAATTTGTAGAGACATTTCTAACTAATGTTATTAGTGTGCATGCTCTCCAAACTCAATAGGTAGTGCTTAACCCTTCTGCTTGGTAAACTATTTATCAGCCATGGTGATACTGCTTCTAAAAGTTTGCTTAAGTCCATTTTAATTATGACCTGTAACATGAAAATGATCCGCATTATACTGGATACTTCTGTTGGGACCATTGTAGCATGGATTTTGGTTGTGTTTATGCTGTTTTCCTCTTATAACTTTTTGGCATATGTAAATTTCTGTTATGTAAAAAAGTTGTCTGATAAGCAGATAAACAATCACAGAGGTTATAATTTTTTCAAGTTTATATAAACATCCATTACTGAACTGTCTGTTTATATGTACTATACACAATTTTTCTAAATACTCTACTGGATTTGTCAATGATGCGTAGGGAATCCTCGTTTTTGCCTCTGTCATGGCAACTCTGGGTCTGCAGATTATTTTGGAATCCTTCCGCACGATGATATCAGATGTAAGTAGCCTTAGATAAATTTCTGAGTTTGAGGCTTTCCTTTTACCCTGATGAATACTTCATTTGTTGTGAGGCTGGTTAGGATATTTTTTGCTCATTCTACAACATATGTTCATGCAGGAAGATGAATTTGACCTGACAAAAGAGCAAGAGACATGGGTTGTGGGCATTATGCTGTCAGTGACCCTGGTGAAATTCATTCTGGTTATCTATTGCCGCTCATTCACTAACGAGATCGTCAAAGCCTATGCCCAGGATCATTTTTTTGATGTTATCACCAACATCATTGGCCTTGTAGCTGTGCTTCTTGCTAACTATATTGATGATTGGATGGACCCAGTTGGAGCTATCATTGTTAGTGAATGCTCTCTCTTTCTTTCTCTCTCTCTCTATCTCTCTCTCTCCCCTCTCTCTCTCTCTCTTTCTCTCTCTCTCTCTCTCTCTATCTGTGGTGTTAATCTTTCTTTTTGTTCATGGGATGGAATTATGGTTATCTTCGGCATGATCCAGGTCATTTAAATTTTAAACTAGTTTGAATATGTTTGGGAGTTGCAAGTAGCAGATAAAATTTTGGTAATGCACCTTGGTTCTTACTGCAGCTGAACAAGCTAGCTTTTCATCTCTTTTGTGAGGAAGATCTTGACTATTCTAGACCTCTTCTAAGATTAAGGAATGGTTTACTGTTTTATTGTATCATATAGATGTCCTCAAGATTTTCATGATTCATTCGCTTTGGGTTTGTTTCTTTATTTGATTTTGCTGTTCGAGAAACTTTGGACGTTGCTGACTTGTTCAAGTTTGTAACTGCTGCAGCTGGCCTTGTACACAATCCGCACCTGGTCAATCACAGTGTTGGAAAATGTAAACTCCCTTGTTGGAAAGTCAGCTGCTCCGGACTATCTGCAAAAACTAACCTACCTCTGTTGGAACCACCACAAGGCCATCAGACACATTGACACAGTCCGGGCTTACACATTTGGCTCTCATTACTTTGTTGAAGTTGACATTGTCTTGCCGGCAAACATGGCCTTGCAAGATGCTCATGATATTGGAGAATCATTGCAGGAGAAGCTTGAGCTGTTGCCCGAGATCGAACGTGCCTTTGTTCATCTGGATTATGAATACACTCACAAACCCGAGCACGGGCGAGCACACTATTAGCAGGAGGGAAATATGGTCATATTTTTTGTTTGGTTGTTCATCTTTACTGCCCATTAATCCATACACCACATTAAAGAATCTACCGAGCCATGAAGGGTTGGGGTTGAAGGCAAACAATCTGTAAGTGTGTGTGCAGATGTTCGGTAGGTTCATTGAATATGGTACTTAATAGTATATAGAAACTTATTTGTTAATCAGGATGTATTTGTAGTTTAGGTTTCCTAAGCACCTTTGCTTGGCTTGTAATATGTAAAAGTTAAGAGAATTGGTTGGGAATGCAAAAATGGCTTCCTAGTAATCGTCTCTTTTTTTTTCTTCCATGACTCTGTGTTTTTTTCTCTTTTTGTCTTTTCCTATACTCGTTAAAAGTGAAAATGATGTGTGTACTAGAAATTTAAAGTACGTAACCTTGATTAACTATTTTTAGTCAAATGAATAATATTTTTATTTTTAGTCAAAAGAAATTAAAGTCGTTTAGTTAGTTGTAAATTAAATTATAATTGTTTTATTTTATAAAAAAAAATAATTAGTCTTTAGAAATTAATAAAGAAATATAAAAAAATGATTGTGGATGAGTTCAAAGCAATTGGCTGGTTACGCCATCCATTTGATTGGACAAGATGAAAAGCACATCCCAATTAATTTTAAGAAGTGGAGATGATTGATAACACATGGCCTCTTTTGATTCTTGAATAAATCTTGTTTCATTCACAGCCGACTTACTTGTAGTTATAATTGAAATTAATTTACTAGATATTACTACTAATAATCTGTCCCCCCAAAAAAAAAAAAAAAGAAGTAATAAGATGGGAAGAATAAATTCTACTCCCATTACGGATTGAATAAATATTCCAAAATATATTTCTAATAAGTTTAAGATAAGTTAAAACTTGGGATTGTTTACTTTTCTATTGTCATTTGATACCCTTTTTTATCAACTAAATCAAGACAAATCATGGTTATTCCATTATTTAATGCCACTAATGCAATATAATATATATGTATATCTTTACAATGGGGTCTTGTCATATTATAATTTTTTATATTTAATTTTACTATTTGATATTTCACAGTTAAATAATGTAACAATTGACATAAAATTTGTCGTCTATTTGAAGAGTTGAAACAATATATTTATGCATTTAACAAAATAAGCATACAATTGTGTGTCACCCAACGCAGCCCATAACTTTACTATCAATGGACTCGAGTAATTGGGCTATGCGATTCTTAAGCCCTTCATTACTATAATTTTTTTAATAATTATAAATATATATATATATATATAAACCAGTCTTTTTATTATTATATAAAAATGCACTTTAATTTTCATCATTTTATATATTTATAAAACTTCAATTAAACACACGTAGTTTGATATTATTTTAAATACTGTTAAATGAAAAAGACTTAAATCAATCCGGTATCATCTTTATATCACACACGTTTTCCCCAAATGACATCAGCTACAATTGATATATCCACGCATCTGTATTTCGCACTTCACCCATTATCATGTCCAGATTCATTTCAATGTATATTTCCACCTTTTTTTTATTTATATATTTCCTTTTCTTTTTTTTAAAAAAAAAACCAAAAAAATCACATATCTAAATAATAATTATAAACCCATAATTAAAAATCCAAAACTTTACAAATAACGCAAAAAAAAAAAAAGAAACCAAATATAGGAAGCTTCTTAATTTTTACAAAACCAGATGGGAAATAAAAAATAAAATATTTCTAGATTTTAATAATAATATTTAACAAAACGTACGTCTTCAATTGTATTTTATACCTTGAAATATATTTATAAAATAAAAATTCGAAATATATAGTATTAAGCATATGATAAAAATGTATTTATATAAAATAATCATCCCGCCAGCTCTTTCTCTTCTCCAGAACGGCAAATCACATTTTCACGGTATTAGTTTCAAGTTTTATTTATTTATTTATTTTTGTCAATGAAGAAAAAACTCGCGCGCCACACAATTATTGGGGCCCGGTGCCGTCGCGGTGTGCGCTTAAATGAGTTCGTTTAGATTCGCTTCTTTAAGTTTCGGAGCTTCTGAGATGCGCCATTTTCGCGCATGGAGATAACTTATGCATCCCCCAGCGCCTCTGACCTCGTCTCCGGCGCCTCCATGCCGACAACTCCCACCGCCACCCGTCCCGTCAAGATCATACCATTGCAGCACCCCGATACGACTTCCTATCGGTCTGGCGGTTACTCTTCCTCGTCCTTTAATGGTGTTTTCTCGGGATGGACCTCGAAATTCAGGCGCATGACGTTTGTTCAGTGGATCGAGCTCTTGCTCCCTTGCTGTCGTTGGATTCGCACCTACAGATGGCGCGATTATTTCCAGGTTGATCTCATGGCTGGGACCACCGTTGGCATCATGCTCGTGCCTCAGGTTGTTTTCGCCTTATTCTTCAATTTTGTTTTTCTCTTCTTTTCGTTTCATTCTCTTTTATTTCTCCGTTTTTGGATTGAACAAAACTTCAATCAGGCCTTTCTTCTTTTCTTTCTTGGTTGACAAGGAGCTTAATGTTTTGTTTTTCGAGTAGTTGTCCGTATTCTCATGATTTTCTTCTTTATATTTCCTGTTTTCTCCGTCAGAAAACCGTGGAAAACGAAACCTTAAGTGACCTTCATTTTCGTTTCTGAAATTTACACAGACGAAAGCTGAAATGTACTCTTGAGCTTTGTAGTTTTCTCCTGTTGTTCGTAAGCTTTACGCCTACCGAACAGACTGTTCGAGAATGTAATTCTACTTTTTTTTTCCCAGTCCGTTTGACTTACTTGGTAAATACCTAATTATCTGTTGGTTAGTCGAGAGTGATGGAACTTTTCGCAATTAATTGTCACTTACTTAATGATAACTGGATTTTTTTTCCTTCGTGTTCTTTTACCAATGCTGCAATAACTTGTGATATTTTCATTACTATTACAAGTGTCCGATTTCACTTTGTGTTGATGAGCTATTACTAAGCCGCTTTTGTCAAACACTTGACTGTTTATCAGCTGTTAATGATCGGGTTACTCCTTAGTTTTTGATACATAGTTCACTTGCAGTAGCGGTGAGAGTCACTGAGAGTATCAGATTCTTGGCTTTTACATTGATTTGTATTATAGAGAAGAGAGTTTATGCAAATGGATCATCAATTCAAAAATACTTATTTCGGTTAGGCCGTATTTGGATGCACGGATTCGGAGCATTAGAATGATATGAAGGCAAATTCATGAGCTCCTTACTTAATGTACCTAATCCTCTTGAGTCCTAAAATTTAACCAAACATACATAAATTCTAATTCTATACAAAAGTGATTTTAAAAGTTAAAACCAGTTTATGTATTTCAAAGAAAAAAAAGTTAAAAACCAGTTTATGGAATTCCTTCAAATTGTTATTTCAATAATTTTTTTTGGCAGCAAAACACAGCCTTATTTCCTCTGAAGAACTGCTTCTTTCCATTTCTGTGCCACTTATTGCAATGCCATTTCCTTACTGACTGATATTACTACTTAAATGAGACTCTACCTGCAGTCTGCAGTCTATATCATAAATGAATTGACAAGATTATTCAATTCCCTTTGTTGTGTATTACCAGGCCATGTCATATGCAAAACTAGCTGGGCTTCAACCAATCTATGGGCTATGTAAGTTCACAGTAAGATCATTTTTTTTTTCATAGAACTTCACAGTAAAATCATTATAAATTAATGATTTCTATTTGCTCATCTTTTCATCTTTTTATTACTTTATCCTCATTGAATCCAGATATCGGTTTTATTTGTGGCAAAGAAAAAAAAGGGATGAGTTTGAATTTGATTTTAATGGGTAAGGACAAAAACCGGAGGAAATAAATTCGGTTTTTTTTTTTCCTAACTGAAAATGGATAAAGGAGATTCACATTTTTAATGACGTATGTTCATATTCTTGCATTGTTGGAATTTGATGAAATTCTTGCTTTAGGAAATCAACATAGTGATTTCTGTATATTATTTCAGTCACCATTCATTATTTTTTCCCTTGTTCTCTTTTCTTTTTTGTGGTACTGACCTTGTAACTCTGAAATTCTTATTCTGACTTTGTGAGGCAGACTCTGGTTTTGTGCCAATATTCGTCTACGCAATATTCGGGTCATCTCGTCAGCTTGCGATTGGGCCAGTAGCATTGGTTTCTCTCCTGGTCTCCAATGTCTTGGGTGGAATTGTTGATTCATCTGATGAGTTGTATACAGAGCTTGCCATTGTATTAGCATTTATGGTTGGAATGCTTGAATGCATAATGGGTCTTCTTAGGTACTACTACTTTGTTCAGAATAAATTATTGTGTGCATGAACAGCTGAACTTGTTTCTTTCGTATTGTTGGGGGGTGGGTGGGGGTGGGGGGGGAGTGATTTCATGATATTTAAATTATTTACCAAACCACATGACTGTCTAGATTTTCTGTTATCCTCTTTATAAGAAATGGTTATACAACTTCTTCAGACCCAGATGTCCAGAGATGTAGCTTGCATGTGATTCTCACTGTTAATATCAGCTTTTGTTTGCAAGGACATTAATAAAGGGTATACTAATGCTTATAACTCTCTCTGTTCTCAGATGGATGAGGACCTCATTTTACTGATATCTATTTTAACAAGTTATTCAGCTCCCAAATTCTTATCTTTCTTTAAATTGGGGACTGGGAGAAGCTAGAGCTATTTCATAGGTTAAATTGAATGTCGATTTTAGTCTTTCAATGAATCTCTTGCTATTTAATTCTTTTTGAAGGTTTTCTTTAATATGAATGAGCTCATTTGTCTGTCATTTTTTTCAGACTCGGATGGCTTATTCGTTTCATCAGTCACTCTGTGATTTCTGGCTTCACAACTTCGTCAGCCATTGTTATTGCACTATCACAAGCGAAGTACTTTTTGGGATATGATATAGTCCGAAGTAGCAAGATTATACCATTAGTTAAGAGCATAATATCTGGTGCAGATAAGGTATGTGTAAGCAAATTATTGAAGGTTTAGTATAGGCATAAGAGGCGTGAATTGCCCAGGCGGCAAATGCTTTTTTAAAGGACTATATAATAATTTTTTCTTCAGGCATTTCCTCCTGAATAGGAGGACAAACATTGGGATAAATACTTCTATGGTCAACCCTTTACTGGAACCTATTTGTTGGTTTGCAGATACCATAGGGTTATAGTATTTTTGTGAGGAAGAAATAAAAGTTACTTTATTTTTGCTTCTCTTTTGGTTGGAAGAGTGTATCCCTTACCGTTACTTGTCTTCCCTCTTTTAGTAACAATTTCTCTTTTATAAAAGAAAAGAGATTTGTTTTTGTATATGTTATTGAAACATGGCAGTGGTTCTTTTAGAAATTTTGGAAGTCTATAAAGGTCATGATAATGTATATCAATAACATAAGATAGTTAAATTCGTGTTAAACTCGAGAGTGAAAAGCATTATATCTCTTATTCCTCTTTCCTTTTTTCAGTTAGTAGGTGAGAAAAGAAAAAAAAGAGCCTTTTAGGATGTGGTTTCCCGGGTCCACAGGATTAAAAATCTCTGACTGCAGAATCTCAGGAGTTTCTCTAGTGGTTACCCTGTCGATGAGTGAGATTTAGGTGATTTTATAGATTTTTGGTTACCCTACACACTCTTTTTCTATATGCATGGCATCCTGTTACTGCCTTGTCAACAAAGTTCATTCTCTTTCTAAAAGAAGTTGTTTGAGTTTTATGACCATGTCTGAAATTTCTACACTGTATATACTAAAGTCTGTTGTCTAAAACAACAATATGTTCCTTATTTATCTTGTTTGTATGCAGGACTGGTTGGTACATAGTTTTAACCTTTATCATATGCTCAGTTTCTATTGCTTACTGAAATTTGTTTACAATCCCCTTGATATCTATAGGCTTTGTTATTTGAAAAAAATTTTATAGGCGTTGTTAATTTTCTTGCTCTGTTTCAACTTATTGTTTCCTTCCTAAGCCACAGGTGGTCTTTTGTTATTGCAGTTTTTGTGGCCTCCCTTTGTCATGGGCTCTGTCATGCTCGCAATACTTCTGGTCATGAAGCATTTGGTATGAGCTCATTGCTAAAACTCTTTTAGAAGAGGCTACTTTCTTTTTGCCTCCTAAGATATTTGGTTATGATTTTTGATGTCTTATGTTCAGGGGAAATCAAGGAAACAATTCCAGATCTTGCGAGCTGCAGGTCCCCTCACAGCAGTTGTTTTAGGAACAACTTTTGTGAAAATATTTCATCCTCCTTCTATTTCTTTGGTAAGAATGATAGTGTCTGAATGATTTTGACAGTGAAGCATAACCATTTTTTGCTGGTAAACAAAGCAAATGTTTGACACAAATATTTTGTGTTTTTAAATAGAAATGAAATGTATAATTGATGTAGTTCCATGGTACCACCTGCGTGCATTTAAGTTACATCATCAACTACTGGAGTTAATATATGAAAAGAAAGAAATAAAGGAACATCAAATTTGAAAAAAATGGTAAATGGCATCTGGTATGTCTTTCAGGTGGGAGAAATACCTCAGGGTCTTCCAACATTTTCAATCCCCAAGAATTTTGGCTATGCGAAGTCTTTGATTCCAACAGCACTTCTCATTACGGGTGTGGCCATATTGGTAAGAAGTTGTGGAGTTCATTTAGCCTTAGGTGGCTTATATGCTTACTGGGTTGTGACCATGTGATGAAACTACTTGAGCTGTAGGAATCTGTGGGCATTGCCAAAGCTTTGGCAGCGAAAAATGGATATGAGCTGGATTCAAATCAAGAGGTATGTTTTGTGGAAAATGGAAAAGCTTTTTCCATGCTTTCTATAATTTTCTGTTCTAACTTTTTGATATTGAAACAAAGCATGCCATGTTTGATACTGCATTCGGTTACAGTATTTTTAACAAATGTGTGGAAAATTAGGTTTCTTTCCCACTAAGTTTATGCAAATAAAGTTATGAGCAATACAGACATCTTTTATGGACTTACTTCCTCTAGCTCCCTTGTTGTCCTTCATAACAGGAAGGAAATGATTTTGTATCCTGTTTTGGCTTTTAACTTATATGTCATACATTATAACTCTTAATTCTAACTGTCTTTCACTGGAAATAAGATGGGCAAAAAAAATATAGAAAATGTTAATTAGTCCAAGTTTCTATACCCAATCTTCTTAAGGGCCTTGCTTGTTTTTCTTTTCTTCCTCTTTTCTTTTTTCTTTGGGAAAGTATATGGGTCTAGCTTGTTGATCACAACTCAGCTCCTGCCAATGTGCTTTTTTATTGTTTGTCCTATAATTCCTTAATATCATTAATTTGTAAAGTTAAGTCAAGTTTGTGAATATTTTTTTGGTATTTGCTGTATTGACTCATTGAGTTATGGTGTGAGAGTATCATATAGGTGCATGTCAGCAAATTGATTCCGCCCAATGTGGTCAATAAATTTTAATTATTCTATCTTTAAGAAGTTTTTGTTCTTGCGTTTCTGCTTACATATTCAGAAAAAGTTTCTAAGTACTGTTTTTCGTTATATGTTTACAGTTGTTCGGTCTTGGCGTTTCCAATATTTTGGGCTCATTCTTTTCGATATACCCTACAACAGGTAGGCTTCCTAGAGGTCCTGACAGCCACAGATATGGATTCTTTTGTAATAATAATAATGTTTTCAAAAGGTGAGTATAGACACAAGACACCACGGGGGTGTCACTCTTGCATAAAACTCCATGCACTAGTTACAACTTATAAATCAAAAGATTATGACATCCTGCATCCCATAAAAATCAGGAGTAGGGATACTGTTAAAGAATAGAGTTAGATATTGAAGCAATTGTCTCTAACACAATGGAAAGAAGATTTGAGCCCCTCGATACTTCTCTTTTTTCGCTCTCCAAATAACCAAAGCCCAGCTAGTGGAGTAAGAGCAATAACTCTTTTGTGATGCCTGTCTGACTCAATACCACCCGAGGCTCAAATATCTGCGGCAATAGAACCTAACTGCTTAGTCAAGCTCCAAAATAATTAGTGCTGTCTCCATGATTAGATAGTCTGGGGGCACTGGAAAATCTGTTGGGCAAACTGCTTATCCCCTTTGCGGAGAAAACACCATTGGCCAGTTCCTTCCTCCTCTTCTTAAGGTTGTCTGGTGTCCAGATCTGCCCCCAAACAGCCTCTCAGGCAAATAATTGATCTTAGGGGCAGAAATCCTTTTTCAGCTTTGTTTCTAAGGATGAACTTTTACTCCAGAAGAGCTAGTGCCGATGACATTATAGGAGGACTTCACTCTGAATAGACCACCCTTTTTCAGCTGCCACTACCAGGATATTTGATCATCAGTACTGGGATCACCCTTAATAGTCATAATTTATTATTGTTGCTCATGTTTAATTTTTTTTTTTCATGATTTTTGTTTCCATGAAATTGTGTTATAACACCACTGTACTATAATTGATAAATGATGATGGTTATTCTTTTATATCACGTAGGCTCCTTTTCTAGGTCAGCTGTGAATCATGAAAGTGGAGCAAAAACTGGCTTATCTGGGATTATAACTGGAATCATAATGTGTTGTGCTCTTCTATTCATGACTCCATTGTTTGAATACATACCCCAGGTCTGTGTCCATGTTTACGTATTTAATTCTCCATTGGGATTGTTACATTTTTAGGATGTTGATGAAACCTTATTACATGATGCATGTGTTTAAACTGTTAATTTTTCCTAAAATTCTTGTTAAAAAAAAAACTTCTTCTGTCTGTTATATTATTTGAGCTTTTCATTTTGCAATGTGTGGCCTATGAATTTAAAATTTTGGATAATCTAAGCTCTGAACTTCTGGTTGTTTAATCTACTGTCTCATTTGGTTATCATGGATCACATCTTTTGGAAATCTAGCTCTCTGATTTGCAGTCTCCACTTTTTCAGTGTACCTTGGCTGCAATAGTTATCTCCGCTGTTATGGGCCTGGTAAGTGTGGCAAACATACATGTTAGTTGAACAACAATTTTTCCATAGAGATTTCTGGTCTCTATTTACAACAGAATAGGTCCATGGAAGTCATTCAATGAAAAATCGTTTGAATAGTTCACTTTCTAGCAGAATAGGCATATAGATACAATGCTAGGATTATTAACTAATAATTATGAACAAATAATGAGTGAATATTGAAAGAAATGATTCTCTTTATGAGGACATGGAATGATGAGAACTAACTATGTAGCATCTATATTGAGAATTTAAGTATCATATACGTCATTAGTTCAATCCCAAGTGTACTTTTTTGCAACTTTGGGTTTCCACGGGTTATTAGACAATTTTTTATGAGATATCGTCTACTTTAGTAAGAGCAAATGGATGGTTGGTTACTGGTTTTGTCAATTTTGTGATTTGTTTTCCCCTGGGGGTTGAAGTGACAATTCAATGCTGACTGATGAAAGCTACCATGTTTTATAAGAGTAACTACCTTCAAAGAAAGATTCTCTTATATCTTGTCAGCATGAATTTTTCCTATTATTATAAATACTGTTGGCATTATTTGGGTTGCTAATAGAGCTCTGAACATTTTTTGTTTCTCTTAATTCTGTTTTGTCCATGATGATAACTTGGTATAAAAGCCAATCTATACAGAAATTACAATTATGAAGCTGGATCTTTTTATTGTTTATGTGTGTTGATTTCTACAAGCAAGATGCATTTAAAGTCAAAGCCAACATGGTTAGATTAGAATTTATTTTTTTTGAAATAATAGTTAGAACATAAATTTTTATTAGTTTTGGATTTAATCTTTCCAGGTGGATTTTGATGAAGCTATTTTCTTATGGCGTGTGGACAAGAAAGATTTTCTTCTTTGGGCCATTACTGCCACTACAACATTGTTCTTTGGTATTGAGATTGGAGTCCTTGTTGGGGTAGGTACCTTAATAACCAATGGTTTTGTAATATCAGTTACTGTCAACTAATCAGATTTGCAAATTTTCATATCGTCGGTTCAACTATTAAGTGCTTTGAATTCCTGTGCATTTCTTTTTCTATTGGCAATAAATCTGTACCCTAAAGTCATTTGAGGTCTTCAGCATTATGCAAGTGTATATGCTGCATCAATTTTCTGAAGGTATTGGAAGAAGAGTATCTTTTAATGTTATTTTTGGAATTCTAGGTAGGAGTTTCACTTGCTTTTGTCATCCACGAGTCAGCAAATCCTCATATTGGTAAGTAGATAAATGTCTACCATTATGCATTCTAACGCATTAAGGGTGTTGATTGCTATCATTTACAGTCTACTGGGTGCTTACTTCTTTGTTAGAGTTCTATATCTTTACATTTCTGTTTCTATATTTCTAAGCATTCAGTTTGTTATGTACTTTTATCATCTTTTTATTTTAATTTCTCCTCATAACCAAAGTGACAATCCCAATCTGCACCAGTTTGCTAGTCTGTCCAGAATTATATGCTGTTCCATTCCTTGTTTCAACCAATAATCTTTTCCACATGTGCCTGACCTGGATAAATCCTTGATTGTTTCTAGGATGTCTATTTTGCTGGCAGGTATCATGCAGTTCAATACTGTATGAATATTTGACACAACCTTTCTTTGCTGACTAAATTGATGGTTATTGTGTTAAGGAAAGTTACATAACAACGAGTAGGTCAATAATATTGTAGCTTCTGTCAATAGACTTATTTGGCTTAATGCTTCCATCTTCTAGCATGTGTTGACTTGTGTGTCTTCTTATTGTCTTTTTTTTTTAACTTGTGCTGTGTCCTGCAGCTGTTTTGGGCCGTCTTCCAGGAACTACCATCTACAGAAATGTTAAGCAGTATCCAGAAGCATATACTTACCATGGAATTGTAGTTGTTCGTATTGATGCACCAATCTATTTTGCAAATATAAGTTATATCAAAGACAGGTGAAACTCTATGCTTCCCTTTGGAATATAGGCTAGACATGTTTTCTTGGTTGGTTTTACATGTGAACTTCTAAATTAAGAAAGAAAATATTCATCTGAATTTCCTATTATAGGCTACGGGAATATGAAGTTGTTGTTGACAAGTCAGCTAGACGTGGACTGGAGGTGGAAAGGATTTACTTTGTGATTTTAGAGTTGTCACGTAAGTCTTACTCTTTTGTATCTTGTGTTTAGACTGTAAAGAAGTACATATTTTTTTGTACCAACACTTAAACATGAGTTGCTTGCTTCTTCAAAGCATGCTATTGTTAATTCTATTCTGTATGTTGTGAATTCGTAAATAACTTGTGTCTCTGTCTAAGTATTCTCACCCTCTCCTATGTTTAGCTCTTTTTTCCATTCTTAAGTCTTTCAAATTCCTAGTGGCCTGCCCTTGAAATTACATTTGTTGCTCACTGATCACAAAATGCACG